CTCATATAAACAACATAGTACATGGACTGGAATTAAATTAAAAAGGGCTGGAATTTCACATAAATTGGGTCAAAAATAATATAATCGAATTGAATTACATCCCGATAAAATGGACCGAAAAGAATACGAGGCGACAACAAGAATTTTTCGATCGATTAAATTGACGATGAATAACAAATAAAATTACGCGACTTATTGTATTAATTAGACTACATCTAATTAAATAATACTAAGCCTAAACGGAAAGATGTCGAGTAGTTAATAACATTAATCGGGAAATAATAATAATAATATAATATTGAGAAAATTCTAATAAACGAATTGGGCGTTACATTAACTTTTCAAATGAATATGTATATAAGTATAGAGTTTCAGTGTTGTGATTGATCAATTAACAAATACTCATCTTCAAGAGAGCATTTTAGAATATAAATATAATATGTGTGTAAGTCCCATGAGTCCGTGTATGCTATATGAGAGCTTGAATGCAAATATGTTTGGGCTAAAGGCATTAATCTGAGCAATTAATTGGAAGGACTAGTGTCTCACATCGATTCTCTGAGAATGGTGCGCTGCCTTTGATATCTATAAATTGAGATTGATCTAATTAATCATCCCACATCGTCTTAAGAAATAAAGTAGCCGCAATTCTATACTTATAAATAAGCTACTCTTCTGCCGTAAATAAACAAAAAAAAGGAGGTGATGGATTTCTTTAATTAGGAAATTCTGGTATGCTTTCGGGGCCTTAAGGAAAGGAAATTTTCAAGTAATATCGGTTAAGATCAAGTTGGTTCGAGCAAACTAAAATAGGACTGGTAACTACAGATACCGGGTAAGTAAAAGTTCATTTTCAACTACAATGCATAAGCTGAGTATTTATATACTCGATTATGTGACTATGTGAATAGTGACCATATGCGAAATTAATGTTAATATGTATTTATGATGCTAATTGATATTTGTATGTAAAATTAATGTTAATGAGTATTTATATTGTAAATAGATATGTGATATTTGTCCATGTTATTGGGCATAGCATATATTTCATGAGCATGTGCATGCAGATGTCATAATCAGATAGAATATCTCGCATGCACGACGTAATTAGAAAAGAAAAAGTATTTTATTATTAATTGGACGCTGCTACGCACTGAGGTCAAGTGCCCCGTGAGACAGCATAAGGGAGTATGAGACGTAAGGACTTGACTTATTATTATGTTATGCTCAGTGCCCCGTGAGACATTGCATAAGGGTGTGTGAGACGTAAGGACTGAGTCATTCCAGTGCCCCGTGAGCCATTGCTTTAAGGTGTGGGAGACGACCAAGACTGGAATGCTATGATTATTGATGATATTGAGCTCATTTTTGGTGCCTAGCAGTGAGGTGAAAGGGCCCAAGACAGAAAAAGTTTTAGAAAGAAATGTTTTCACAACGTGAATCATATACAAGCATTTGCATTTCATATTGGAATGCATATCAGCTGACGATGTTATTTCTTAACATGTATGACTTTTACTTATTGAGCTCTCGCTCATGTAGTCTATGCATTGTAGGTGAACATGTCGATATCTGATGATCAGTGTTAAGGCTTGATCGTGCTGTTGGATCTAGAAAGTTTTGAGGACGTGTACATGGATGACGATCTGTTAGGCTGACAAAGAACTTATGTCCTTTTTGTAGTTTGGGCTATTTTAAGAATTCTAATATATGTAAAATTTGTAAACTGTTTCTGTCTCTTAATCCTTTTGATATGTATAAATGATATTATTCGCGTTGTTTTGACAAATAAATCTGGATTTTAATAAGTTAGTTTGAGAAAAATGTGACTTGTATTTCCAAATATGAGAATATTCAGTAGTAGAAAAGCGGTCGTGACAATGACGACGATGAACGTCTCTATCCCATTCGCGCAGTGGGGTATTGATTTGGTATGGCCGAAGCCACAAGGAACTGGTAAGAGGAAATTTTTTATCGAGGCGGTTGACTACCTTACAAAGTGGGTGGAGGCCGAACCCTCGGCCAAGATCACGGAGGAGAAAGTTATACAGTATTTATATAACAATATTTGTTGCAGGTTTGGAGTCATAAAGGTGTTGGTGTCTGCCAATGGAACACAACTCAATGGAAAGCGGATTTGAGCATGGTGCGAGGACATGATCGAGCAACACTTTACCTCGGTAGCTCATCCGCAAGCTAATGGACAAGTTGAGGTGACCAACAGGATCATATTGAATGGCCTAAAAACAAGATTGGAGAAGGCGTCGGGGCATGTGTTTAAAGAAGAAGAATCCATCATGATTAAGGCCGTGAGGCTAGATGATCGCATTTACGACCACCTCTTTGAAGGTGGGCATGTGTTCAAAGGAGAAAAATCCATCATGATTAAGGCCGTGGGGCGGGATGTTCACATGTATCGACCACCTCTTTGAAGGTGGGCATGTGTTCAAAGGAGAAAAATCCATCATGATTAAGGCCGTGGGGCGGGATGTTCACATGTATCGACCACCTCTTTGAAGGTGGGCATGTGTTCAAAGAAGAAAAATCCATCATGATTAAGGTCGTGAGGCTGGATGGTCGTATGTATCGACCACCTCTTTGAAAGTGGACATGTGTGTTAGTGTTATATACTGAAAGCTTGGCTTTGCATGTTATTACACATTTACCCTTTATGAATGAGAATCATGTTAGATTAAACAAGTTCTACGTTCTGTTTTTCTGCACTTAGATGGAGTGGGTCGTCATCGGGCGTACCGAAGATCACTCTATCAGTTACTTGCGAATAAGAATAGTTGTTCACAACCTAGATGGACATGAACACTCCATCCGAACGGTTGTAGTGTCAACTGTACAGTTTGTCTTGACTGATTAGTTGCACTAGTACATTTATGTATTGAACAGGATCCCAGAGAGGAGAAGTTCATTTTATACTGATCGTCGTAAATGAACTAGGCCTCGGTTAATTACTGCGTTCTCTTAACCCGTAAGATATTAAACAGGCAGATATATATAATATATATTACTTTGATTCACATGGGTGAGGTTCAGTTCGCTGGATTAATATTCCTACTGTTTTGGGTAATATTATTATATATAGGATGTGCTGTTAGGATATTTACGGTCACCATGTGCGTTAGTTTGATGATGTCCCCGGAGTGAGTTCATGAAGGATTGTTATGCTAAACCCTGCAGGTGGATTAAGTTCCGGCATAATAATAATGTGATGAACGAGCGCAAGCTTCGGTGAAATAATAATAAATTAATTAATTCTTGATTGTCAGTAATCGAATTAATTAATAGACATTATATCTTAAACGTGGGGAGGTAAATCGAGTAATTATTATTGAAGTCTCAAATGTAATCTGGGCTAGGGAAAGAGAGTGAAATAATATAATGTTGGTGGCCCATTAATATTATTTAATTAATTAGAGGAGTGGGTTTGGCCCACAGTTAGTCTAATTAATTAAGGAGCCTTTTTCCTAATCTCCTTAGGGTCCCTACTGTAGCTCTATATATACATCATTAAGCTCATGAGAAGGGATGAGAGTTCAGATCTCACGTGAAACACGCCTCACACGCCTCTCTCTCTCTAAATCTCATTCGAGCTTTATCTTCTTCTTGTTGCTCCACTGGTACAAATTGAAGAATGGTGTATTGAGTAATACAGTAGAAGATCTGTAGGTAAACCGAGACGAAATATATTTTGACCTACAGAACTAACCGGAAGTCCGATTGAGACGTACAGTATACCCAGACGACCGTCTCGACGAGAGCTTTCCAGCACCGCCAACGTCGCGGGAATCTAACGCCGCACGCGCCGCCGGAAGGTGCCTGGCAGCAAAATCTCGTTTTGATTTGTTTGCATCCGTTTGATCCGGTTTTGATTTAATCTTGTTCGTGCAACCCAAGACGTGATTTGAGGTCAATCAATTGCGGTCAACCGTTCGTGGTCAGCCAGATCTACATAAATTTTAAGCCGTAAGTTCTCTACGTCAAACCTTTAGATCCGCTGCGCATAGGTTTACGTTTGCTATTGAATTCGTGATTTGTACATAACGAGATCCTCACACCCAACAAGTGGTATCAGAGAACTTGGTTAATTTGTTTTGTACAAAGTTCGAATTTTTACGGCTTTATTTGACAAGATGTGTTCAAACGCAGCCCATATATTGGATTATATTTGCATAACTCGGTTTTGCAGGAAAATAGTTAATCCACTATTATGGTCGATTATGTGTTTGATGAATGTTGTTGAATGTGATGTATGGTTTTAAATTTGTTCTTAAAGCCTCGGGCATGTCGAGGAATTTATGGATGAATGTTTGTAATAATTATTCGCCCGGGGGTTTACCGGATAGATTTAATTATTTGTTTAGAAAACATGTACATCCATTCGTTGGATCTAGGATCGAATTATGTAATTTTGTAAATTTTACTTTTCATGTTGTGATCGTGTGTTGATAACCGGGAGATCACAAGAGATCAACGAGCCTCGAAGAATAAAAAAAAATTGGCTTTTTCCGGCGAACCGGCAGGCGGCGACCGGTGGCCGGCGGCAGCGGACTGGTGGCGGCCGCTGGTGGTTCGTTTTTGTCTTGATGATCAAGCAGTACAAGATCAATCAGGATTCTACTGCTCAAAGGAGTTCCAGTTAAACAGGGAAAAAACTGTCACAGTTTCCTTGTTTAAGGAGACTCAATATTTAATGGCCATAAT